AGCCAAAATGGTATTATCTGCACTCACGTATATTAAGGATGTTTAAAAAGCTTCTGATTTGCAAGTCCCCACTAAACTTGAGGAATGACCTGGTTGTGGGTGGCGACGTATTGCAATACATGAGATAATTGTTCTTCAGTTGAGTCCTTCGGCCTCAAAATGTACTTCTGGACATCTGACAAATGACTTTCTACTAGATATCGTGGATGGATTTCTTGAGGGAAGGAGACAAAGCAGATATACCTCATAATGGAATGGTTTGTACCTCAGCTCAGAGACCACTGTATATCACAGGACATACTACTGTCAATTAATATTTTCCTTGAAGATATTGCGCGAAGGAAAATATCATGCAATAAACTCCTTTGAAAATTCTGTACATTTTATAAATACTGTTCAGAATAAAGATGTTCTTATTATTATTATTATTACTAGTGATATGGAAGTGTTATTCTCAATCAATCAGTTGTCTACTGTTTTATGCAAACTTGTTTCTAATCCTTACAAACTAACCGATCTTGAATTCTGTAATGATTCTCACACTCTTCAATTTTTATTGACCAACAGTCTGTTGCTAGCGGTTAATAATTAACCGTCTAGATTCAGGTAATCAATTATTCTCAATTCTTCTCTACCCCAAAAAGGGATTTTTTATCAACCCTAGATTGGTATAGTTTTAATGCAAAACTACACTTGCAATGGACTTAATCTATCTTATAACCCGACTGGTGAATTCTACCTAATCTTTTTTCTTTGCTGTCTCTTCATTCGTATTATTTCTTTCTTTTCAATTGTAATATTTTACATTTTCAACTTTCTTGTTGTCTACTCCCACCCTGAACACCTCACTACCATATGGTTACTAACTTGACCAACGCTCAATTTCTAGTCACTTATGTTACGTCATTTAATTTATGTGCTCAGTTTTAGTTCTAATTCAAATGGCATTATTATCTACCCCACTTCTACTTAGTCTCTACCTGTAATTACCTCTACTGCTACCCTGGTATAAGTTGAAACATTTTAGTCGATTATATTACGTCATCTAACTTACTAACTAACTCAATCTTACTTTAGTTGCTGTCTAATTATCCTTGTTTCTATATTAGATCATTCTTTTATTACCTGATCAATTAAATCTAAACTTGACAAACCTGATGTACATACTCACACACAAACAATTATATATAAATGAGATTGTACAGTTATGTGAACGAATTCGCCGTCGAAAAGAGTCTCTTTGCTGAACGTCTTCTCTTTTTCATAAAACTACATATGTATATTTTCAAAAGAATGGATACTGAACAAACAGTACTCTTTTCGATAACTCCATCATCAGGCTGTACAGTAATATATACATTATAGTGAATGAATGAGTTAGTGTTATGAACGACATTTATGTTTAAATAACATCGAATCAATAATATTGACAGATTACAGTTTAATATATATATATTTTTTTTCCTTCACGTTCCCAGTGGAACATAGGGCTCCAAGCTAGTGGCTTGAGGTTTCTGTAGCAGTGTTTAATTTTTACAGGATGGGGTTGCTAGCCTCATGCCCAACTTTTCCTCTTTACCAGCATTATTTCTGGCTCAGTGAGGTAAAGGAGCGCGCCGGCCGGGGATCGAACCCGGACCATATGCATGGTCGGTGAGCGTGCTAACCGCTATACTACCGACGCACTACAGTTTAATAGCATCAACATAAAATAAGCTGAATGTCAGAAAAATTAGGGAAGATAATAATACAAATTCATGAGTATATAGTCTCTACTGAAGGCCAGGGGCTGGACTTGCTTCTTTTGAACACAGAGCACTGGTTGTTTGAGACGAATTGCAATAGCCTCTACTGTTTGCAGCATGCGGTGCTTCAATGATTTTGGAAATTTACTAGGCATCCGGTAGATTATAGAGAAGGATTCTTCCACGCTGGCTGGTTTTGTGGTCGGTTTGTACCAGATGGTCCAATATCGAACGGTTAATGGATTTCACTACACGTTTACTTAGTCATAGTGGGAGATGTTCTCGAGAGAGCACGAAGGATCAAGTTCCTAGAGCAATGGCCAATGTAACTAGCTTTTTAAGCGCAGTTGAATTGGTAGATACAATTAGAAGTGGCTAGACTAGGTACTTAGTCTCTCGATCAAGGAATCACCATCTGCCGTGTAGAAAATATGATGTGATGATGGAGTTATCGAAAGGAGTATTCTTTGTTCAGTGACCATTCTTCTGAAAATTTTAATGGCCATTCCTAATCAGTTGACATATGTATATGTTAGTGTAGAGTGGTTGATAAATAACCTGGTCGAAAAGGAATAAATTTGTTCGGTCGATTTAATGTAGTAGTTATGTTCTATGGTTGGATGGTTTATTGGCGGAGCTTTCATAATCTTTCTAGGCAACTTCTCCAGAGCATATTTCGATTGAAAAAGAATTTTTAGAATACTGAAGAAGTTTATGAATCACCTCTCCTGGTAACCTATCATGGGATTGGTTGTTTCAGGATACTTTCTCATCTTTTCACCCATTTTTATTGGTATAAATTATTGGTTTTGTAACTTTTCCAATTCGTGACATAACGCTTATGGTATCACGAATGTTTGGCAGGCGATTGGCTCCCGCCAAATGTAAAATGATGTTACATGACTGGATTATATTCCTAGCTTGGAGTTAGGGAGCAAAGTGGCAGAGCGTGTTAACCACTTCACTTATTTGGGGAGTTGCATCAAACTGCACCAGCGGGTTGATCACTGACGAGATCCCAGTACAGGTGTAACAACAGAAGACAAGGGCCAGGCAACAGATCGTTTTATTATGAAAATCAACACGTATTTATATATATTTCACATACATTATTACAGCTTATGCAAGTAGACAAGCGCAGTCATCTGATTGGTTGTTTATCAGAAGTTAGGCAGACAAACACAGGCTTCGGATTGGTTGTTTAGGGATTCCTCGACAAATAGAGTTCTCTATCTGCGAATCATATTTTGCCACGTTAACTTTGCTGTGATTGGTTGTTAAATCAGCCTTGTACATATTTTCTCACGGCCTGCTATCACCACACAGGTATAGAAGGTTCGTCTATCATATGCCAGTTTACGCCATTTCTGGCGTAGACGTGATATCCGGCTATCAACCAAAGGGTGTGTGTACTGCTCAGCAGTTCACTCTGTCCTCCTTTATCACTGAGAGACACAGCCATGGAAAGTGGAAGACATGAAAAGGCCAATTATCTCTCATTGATCATAGGTGTCTGCGTTCTATCTTCCCGTGTGAAGTAGTATAACCGGGTGAGCAATATTGATGTTAGGCATCAGTCGAGTGCTAGGTAAGAAGGAGAAATCAACTGACGACGCTGTAAAGTCACACCGATTGAGATGGTCAGGATGTGTGTTACGTACGATGACCAGCCATCCCCTCCCTCGACAGGCAATATTAGCTGACATAGGATCGCGTTGGTAAACAGAAAGCTGGTGGCGGTCAAAGTGGAACATGGCTTCATCAGTCAATCAAATTCACAACAGTTAGTTTAAGCCAGGTAAGGATGATTAGACCGCTGTATGATTGGAGCCCTCGGTATAGTAGGCAGGAACCGGTGACTGGAGACAATTGTATCCATGTAAAATTATGTATATAATGCGATTGTATAACCTTTGAAAATGAAATCGCCGAGAAGATATCTTCGTGGAACTTCGTTTTCTCTTCTTTCTAGTGTCTTTATGGGTGATTTACACGATCTGAAAATTGGTGATATACCTCAAAATCGTTCTCAATGGCGCGGATGCATCCACTCATAGTGACTCATAATATCCAATAAAACTACATGGTTGTTCCATATTACTATCCCTTCTGCCTCATATCTCTGTGCACTGACTCTTTTCTGAATCTCTTTTTACATTTTCTTCTTGCTTTGTGTGGCAACTCGAACTCTTACACGTCGGTGCAAAGTTCTACATTGAAACCAGTCAATCAGATATATAACTCTTACTACAACAAATGCTTTACGTCAGCAACCAATTCACTCTGTCATAGTGGACTCTATTGGCCCCAGCTTCTCAATAAAACTTCACAGCGTCAGTTCAGTAGCTACTGGATCATTAATTTCTGACTTAAGCAGCTATTTCGTCACCAGATTTGGCCTCGCAACCCCAAGGTCACCAGTGTGATTCCTAATGGATTCCTAGGTACTCACTGCTAAAGATGTACAAAGTGAGGTGAAAATCCTGTAAAGTGAACCCATGGTTTCATACAACTAATTGAAATCCCTACGAAAACTCCTCATAATCTAAATACTTAATTAAGGAAAAACAAATACACAAACAGACAAAAAGAATCATTATTCTTCATTAAGTAGTTATGTGATATAATTTACAATGATATGACTTGTAACGAGTGAACACCTAAAGAAAATATATATATAATGAAACCAAATAATGATAATGTTTAATTGTTTTAATGAGGTAGACATACGTATAAATTATTAATGAAGTTAATAGATGGATTATATTTTCCCCCACATAATTACTATCTACTTATGTCTCTTAATAAGTAGTATAAGTTTCAAAGCGAAATTTGTGTCCACATAAACAGAGATATATGTATGTATATGGATAAATGTGCGATAAAATTATTATATACTTAAGTGTACATGTGGACATATGTGCGTGTGTACAAAACAACTGGACTAATATATAATTGTCCGATCAATAAATCGATATAAACAAACAATAAAAACAACAAAAACCAGAATGATGACGACATCAATAATGCATGAAAATAAACGGTAACCCTAATATATGTATATGTATGTATATATGAGTTTTACGGAATAATATAAACGTGTGCGGGTTTGTATGTAATTCACTCAGTAGGCACCCTGTATATATGTATATATATGTGTGTCAATGAGTATTTATCGGTTCAATATTCTCCTTTATTATCTGTGAAAATATATCTCCTGGGTATCCGTTCATTCAGTACGTCAATACTTATATTTCAGTCGGCATAAGGATTTATCGGTAACTGATGTGAATATGAGTTGGCAGCATATTGATTTTGCGAGACAGGTTCATTGATCCTTTTACCCTGTTCTACTTTTCGTTTTCTTTTACGTTCACGACGTTTAAATTTACGTGAATTTTGTCTTTGTAGTTGATTAATTTCTTTGAGATAGGTGTTTTGTGCTTCATTTGACGTTTTGACGTGTGTATTTCTCTCCGAATTCGCTCTGTATGAAGCATTTTGGTAGGTAGAGCGACCCGGTTTATAAAAATTATCGCTATCCTCATCAATATCATCATTATTATTGTCACCATCATAAGGAGTCTGTGTAATCAGAGTTTTCGGTTGACGATGGTACGGACTATTCGCAATGCCTTGAGAATTACTCCGGGCATCATAGTTTGACGCTGAAGCAGTTGGGTGCTTCTTATTTGACTTCGCTGGTCTATACAAATTATTATTGTTCATCCTGCTATCAGAATTTTCATAATTCGGGGAATCTGATAACTCCGACGGAGCTGAACGCAATATTTTCAACGTTCTTCCTGGATGATTATATTGGATAGCTTGTGGTTGAACAGCAACCGAAAGACTGGCTTGATTTTTATTACACAAGTGAGCTACAGGTTCTTTACGGATCGCATTCAATGATTGTCGAAATTCAGCTGATTCTCTATTCCACAGACCCAAGAAGGTGACCTAAAATGGATGAGAACATATCGTAGAATATTAAAAATTGAGCTTTTCAAATTTTTAAAGATTTCTCAGATAGATGAAGCTGGATTTTGAAATAATAGCGAAGATTTGTAGCTCATTTGGATGATTTTGATTCATTTGGGTCCTCTGGGACTGGCTGATTTAAATGGGGAGCTTTCGTTGCCCTGCTAGACAACATCTTCATTGTAATTCTAAGTAATTATCTTTAGCATTTCATACTAGAAGAACACTGGAAGCTTAGCAGTTAAACCAACCAGCTCAGAGAACCTAATCAAGTTAAAGAAATTCTGGATTGGTGTGGATTTTTGATCAGTTTTTCATCACGACCCTAAATTAGTTAGAGAATCACTAGAAACCGGAGAGAGTACAGGATAGCTGCCTCGTCTTTGTTTTGGATTCCTCATCACTGCATGACCACAAGGAACCGAAAACCAGGATTTTCACGTCACGAGGACAAACTCGTTAACTATTCAGCCATTTAAATTGGAACTTAAGGGTCCAGCGTCTACTGGACGGATACTCTTAAGATGTCATAGGAGACTGTAGCCACCGGAATCCGGTGCTGGAAGCAAGACAAAGAGCACCAACACGGATGTTCCGTTCCACCAGATCTAGATTCTTTTTAATTTTGGATGTACCACCCCATCAGCAATCAAACTTGGAACACATAAGTTATGGAGCGAGTCCGATGATCAATCAGCCACACTTTGAAGAATCTCAAACTAGGGGGAAGTAACTGTCTAGCGCTTTCTGCCTCTCAATGAATATCCAATTGATAGCCATTCCTGACGAAGCCTTTGCCATCTACATATGCATACATATTTTTCTTGACCTCCAGGTTATGAAGTGTCTCGAAGTAGAGAACTGTCTGTTTGTCTGGATTCAACATAGAACGTGGCATCGCAGTGCAGCACTTCCAGTTGCCACGTTCCAAATGGCACACAGAGGTAGACAAGAAGATGAGTGAAGAGAATCAATAGAGTTTGACAAGTATAAGAGTGAAACAGAATGGGTAATGGTAAAAACGAATATGCAAGATTACAGAGACTGAATACATCTGCGCTGGCCATTGACAACGATTTTGAGCCATGTCACCTATTTTCTGCAGCCATTGATTCCTAGAGTCCCGAGGCCCCCAACCCGGGAGTCTGCATCTCCCTACCTGACCTGACTCAGTTTAACTGTCAAGGATTTCATGAATTGATGAGGCCATGTTTTTGTTTGGCCACCACTTACGCTTTTCCAGCCTGCACCTATATCAGCTAGCAATGCCCGTCGGGGGAGGCGGTGGTTAGGCATGCGCAGCACGTGACCTAGCCATCTTAGTCTATGTAACTTTATAGCCTCGTCTATTGATTTTCCCTCTTTGCCCAACACTCTACGCCTAACGTCAACATTACTTACCTTAGTATACCACTTAACGTGAGAAAGAGATCGCAGACATCTGTGATCGAAAGCAATCAACCTTTTCATGTCTTCAGTTCGTATTGCTCATGTTTCAGAGCCATAGAGAAGGACGGAGCGAACTGCTGAGCAGTACACACGTCCCTTGGTTGATAGCCACATGTCACGCCTACGTCAGAGATGGTGTAAGTTAACGAAAGCAGCTCGAGATTTTTGGACCCATGCTGAGATTTCGTTGCCAATCAGTCCGTTGGTGCTGATACAACTTCCCAAATATGTGAAGTGATCAACATATTCTATCACTTCACTCCCTGTCCCTAAGCTAGGAGTGATAGGAAGTGAAGTGATATGTAAGTAGAGAAATGAAAACCAGTGTCAACTTAACAAAGGTTCGAAGTTCTCTAAAATCACGGACATTGCTTGTGTAACACCGAATATAAAAGTAAGTTTGTGGGGACCTAAATATGCTTACACCAAATAAGGTGAAGGATCAAGATGCCATCAGCAAGCCATGTGAGATGCAATGGATGCTTTCAACAAGTTGGCTTATATCTCTGGAACAATATAACAAATCAAGTAGACAGAAATTCAGTCAATTGTAAGAAATGGGTGACTTAGGAATGAATGAAATATATACTACTCCATATATAACTGAGTAACTTTCATACAGGCACATCTTCAATAAAGCTGCTTTTTCAAGTATTGGTTTTGTATGAATTTTGTGTTTGGTTAGATGGAGGATTTCATTATCAGCTGACATCAATTAGAGAACCACTAGAAAATCAAGGAGTACCGGATATCTGTTTTATCCTAGTTTGGGATTCTTCAATAGTACGCACTCACCGGGGTTCCGACCCAGGACCTTTTGGTTACAAGGCGAGCTCGTGGACCATTAAGCCACTGGGACCCGGTCCAAAAGGTCCTTGGTTCGAAACCTGGAGGATGCGTACTGATGAAGTGTCCAAAACTAGGATGAAACAGCTGTCTAGTACTTCTAGGTTTTCCAGGGCTTCTCTAACTGATGTCAGCTCATGATAAAATACTCCGTGCGAAACCGCTTTTCACGTAAGCCAATGTAGTAATGTAAAGTATTGTCCAACAAAATGCTACTGAGAATAATAAAATCACTTGGAGTACTTATACCTCATAAACTGATATGGTCTCATCATTTCGTGGTGTTGTAAAGCGAAAACATTCCACCGAAAATGAACACAAAACCAACGTCATCTGTAAGACAGGTTGCATCAACACTGACAAAAGTGGACATCCTCTACACTCTTGTGTACATGATCACATCCTAGCAGCCATAAGACTTGACATACGTTCTCTCAAATCAACTGACTCGAACAACTGTAGGCAAATATAAACATTTTTAAAACAGGAATATCTATGAGTTCCTAAAGATCTGGTATTCAAATCAATTAGCAGTTAGTCGGCATGTAAATATAGGTCACATTTACCAATCAAAAAATGATGGTTCACACAAACGAAGGTCAAATATTAGCTCGGCGAAAGGATCAGTAACAATACAATTGTGTTCAGTCATGTTTAAATCTTTGGCAGCAAGAAAACACACATAGAATTATCAAACCTCAATCCACCCACACTCACGTTATTGTTCGAAGACGATGTCCAGAAGGATAAAGGAAAGTTTTGCATCCAGCTGAGAAAACCTCAACGAGGTGAAACACAATTCACCTGGAATACAAATCTTTTCCACTATTTCAAATGGTGACACAAGTCACTTCATGAAATTCGGCTTCTAAACTCCTTTCTAAAGAGACTGAAAATCAAACTTTAGAGTCTAGTTACTTTGTAAGCAGACCAAAGAAACGAATCACATCCTATTGTCATCCAACTTCGAAATCAATCGCTAAAAACAGTAGTGAATAAAGTTATTATAGCCTGTGATAAATGAAATGAGTAGATTCATGTCAAAAGTGATACCTATCACCAACTGCTTGACATTTTCTCTACACGACCGATGGTGCTACCTCGACTGAAAGATGAATTACCTAGACTAACCACTTCTAATTGTATCTACCAATTCAACTGCGCTTAAAAAGCTAGTTACATTGGCCATTGCTCTAGGAACTTGATCCTTCGAGCTCTCTCGAGAACATATCCCACTATGGCTAAGTAAAGGTGTACTGAAATCCATTAACCGTTCGATATTGGACCATCTGGTACAAACCGACCACAAAACCAGCCAGCGTGGAAGAATCCTTCTCTATAATCTACCGGATGCCTAGTAAATTGCCAAAATCATTGAAGCACCGCATGCTGCAAACAGTAGAGGCTATTGCAATTCGTCTCAAACAATCAGTGCTCTGTGTCCAAAAGAAGCAAGTCCAGCCCCTGGCCTTCAGTAGAGACTATATACTCATGAATTTGTATTATTATCTTCCCTAATTTTTCTGACATTCAGCTTATTTTATGTTGATGCTATTGAGCTGTAATCTATGAATATTATTGATTCGATGTTATTTAAACAGCAACATTAATGTTGTTCATAACACTGAACTAGGACGAAACAGCTATCCAGTACTCCCTGCAGGTTTTCCAATAGTTTTCTGACTAATGCCAGCTAATGATGAAATCATGAAACCAATCAACCAAATCCCTACAAACCAAAACTTGAATAACAATGAAATGCTCACTAGCGACTTGCTCTATTCAGGTAGGTAGTTACCTGGGGTTCTAGTGAGAAGTCGTGACCAGTAGGGTGCAGCCGGTCGAGTGCGAGGACAAATACTCCCTGAAGACATTGACTAGCGGTTGCACTATATCGTGAATTGGAAGAAGTTAGAATTCATGGGCCATTGGATCAGGTCCCAGCGGCTTAATGGTCTACAAGCTCGCCTTGCAACCAGAGGGTCCTGGGTTCGAATCCCGGTGGGTGTGTACTGCTGAAGAGTCCCAAAGTAGGACGAAACAACTATCCAGTACCCCCAAGTTTTCCAATGGTTCTCTAACTAATACCAGCTCATGATGAAATCCTGAAATCATTCATTCACTATTATGTATGTAGAACTGTAAAACCTGATGAGGAAGGCGTTATCGAAAAGAGTACTCTTTGTTCAATTTGAAAATTTTCGTGGCAGATTTAAAAACGAATCAATATCATTTAAAGGATCCTTAAAAACCATAGGCCACACGGGACAGCTGTTTTGTTCTATTTCGCTATTCTTTAACAGGAAGCACACTCACCAGAAGTTAAACATTATCCCTCAAGTTATTAACCCAGTCTGTTGGAGATTTACTCACCGCATTGAGTCACACTGACCGCCAATTTATGATGCGGTGTCATAACATTCTAATGGCCAACGGGCAATATCTGTGGAGAAACCCAACTAATCAATAATTGCACACATAGATGACGTGTCAAAATAGTCAAATAAAAATATTGTTAGGGAATACCAAAAATGAAAATCGAATTCACTAACAGACACACACACACACACACAAACATGATGACGCACACTCGGATAGACGTCACTTGCCAAATTCCTTATTATTACAGACAAAGACGAAGTAAAAGAGAAAATAGGCTTCATTGTTTTTGGTGAATCAATCCT